CAGAAGTTGCAGGTCGGCTGAACCGACTTCAGGCAAGTCCCAAGACGCTTGTGGGGGTTGTAGAGCAAAACGGAGACAATTTCGTGAGAAGACAGATTTTCAGGAGGTCTCATGCTCTGACAAACACCGCTCTAGCTGTCACCTTTCACCAAAGATGCTGAAGTGCGACATAGGAGGATTTTAAATGGGGATTTTTGTATTATGCTAATTCAATTCGACCTTAGGTGGTTAAACAGTATGGTCATTACACAGGGGACAATAAAAGGCCACTGTAAAATGTGTTGTTTTGTAACACAACACCACAGATGTCTCAAGTTTTGAGGGAGCTTGCAATTGGCATGCTGACTGCAGGAATGTCCACCAGAGCTGTTGCCAGAGAATTAAATGTACATTTATCTACCAACGTCATTTTAAAGAATTTGGCAGTAAGTCCAACCGGCCTCAAAACCACAGACCACGTGTAACCACGCCAGCCCAGGACCTCCACATCTGGCTTCTTCACCTGCGGGATCGTCTGAGACCAGTCACCCGGACAGCTGATTAAACTGTGGGTTTGTACAACTGAAGAATTTCTGCACAAACTGTCAGAAACCGTCTCAGGTAAGCTCATCAGAGTGCTCGTCGTCCTCACCAGGGTCTTGACCTGACTGCAGTTCACCATCGTGACCGACTTCAGTGGGCAAATGCTCACCTTCGATGGCCACTGGCACGCTGGAGAAGTGTGTTCTTCACGGAGGAATCCCGGTTTCAACTGTGTGGGCGAGCAGTTTGCTGATGTCAACGTTGTGAACAGAGTGCCCCATGGTGGTGGTGGAGTTATGGTAAGGGCAGGCATAAGCTACGGACAACAAACAATTGCATTTTATCGATGGCAATTTATCCTGAGGCCCATTGTCGTGCCATTCATCTGCCGCCATCACCTCATGTTTTAGCATGATAATGCACAGCCCATGTCGCAAGGATCTGTACACAATTCCTGGAAGCTGGAAATGTCCCAGTGCTTCCATGGCCTGCATACTCACCAGACATGTCACCCAATGAGCATGTTTGGGATGCTCTAGACCGACGTGTACGACAGCGTGTTCCAGTTCCCGCTAATATCCTGCAACTTTGCACAGCCATTGAAGAGGAGTGGGACAACATTCAACAGGCCACAATCAACAGCCTGATCAACTCTATGCGAAGGAGATGTGTCGTGCTGCATGAGGCAAATGGTGGTAACAGATACAGCAAAAATCCTCATCAGTGATTTGGATTAAGCAGTGAATATGTGTCGAGCAGCTGAAACCACCAGAGCACAAGCTAAAGAGCTGCGCAGGGATGAGACGTCAGTGCATGCAATACAAAGAAAAACAACTGTCCAAGGAGAATACAGGATTACTGGATGTGCAGAGCAGAGCTCACTGTTGTGGATGACATAGTGTTCAAAGGCAACAAGATTGTCATTCCCATGACACTACGCAAAGAAATGCTACAGAAAATACACGAGGGCCACTTGGGTGAGGAAAAATGCAAACAACGAGTACGAGAAGTAATGTACTGGCCAAGAATGAACCAGGAAATCAGCCAGACCACTGCTTCATGTGAACTGTGTTTGACCTACAGGCCAAAGCAGCAAGCAGAACCGCTAATGCCTCATCCAGTACCCAACCGACCCTACTACAAAGTTGGAGTTGACCTTTTTGACTGCAATGGCAAAAGTCACATTGTTGTTTCTGACTACTACTCAAACTACCCTGAAGTAGCAACACTGCCAACTACCTCCAGCAAAGCTGTAATCACCTACCTGAAATCAGTCTTCGCAAGACATGCGGTTGCGTCTGAACTGTACTCAGACAATGGCCCGCAGTTCTCAAATTCTGAATTCTGATCGTTCGTTAACGACTGGGGATTCCGACACAACACCTCCAGCCCCAACTACCCAAGGTCCAACGGCTTAGCAGAAAGTTCAGTCAAAATTGTCAAAGGTCTGATGAATAAGGCACATGATGGAAAGGAGCACTTCCTAAAAAGTCTGATCTACCGCAGCGCACCGCTGCAGAATGGACTTTCACCTGCAGAAATGTTGATGGGACGTCGCATCAGAACCAACCTACCCATCCATGAGGACTTGCTAACACCCAGAGGTGCTCACAACGTCAAACTCGCAAAGGAAAAACAGAAAGACAAACAAAAACAGCGACATGACAAAAGTGCAAGACACTTACCTGAACTGAAACCTGGAAATCATGTACGACTCCGAGACATCACTATAGGAACCTGGATGCAGCAAGGGTGCGTGCAGAGAGAAGTTGCACCGCGATCCTATGAGATCCAAATGGAGCATGGATCACAACTGAGACGAAACAGAGTGGATCTAAGGCTTCAGCCATTCACTCAAGGGACTGAGGATCATCAGAAGGATACTGCTGAAGTGTCAAATGCCTTTACCAATGGACAATTCAGTCAGAACATCCTGACTGACAATAAACACTGTCCAACTGCTTCAGGAAGCACTTCAGCAGAACGACCAAAAAGGACTGTCAGAGCCTCTGAAAGGCTTATTGAGAATTGCTAAAAGAAAATATATATGAAAAAAAAGGGGCACCTGGATTGGATGTTTTTGTTTATGTGAAAAGAAATAGAGCCACAATAAAGTATTGTTGGATAGAGACTGCATTTAGTTGAGGGAAAAAAAAGGGGAAAGAAATGTGTGTTATTGAAAATTACATGTTATGCAGGTTGAGTAAACAAATGTGATGTGACATGTTTAGTTACAGAGAAAAATGTGTTTTCTTTCAAAGGAAGGAAGATGTGTTGTTATTGGTTTTCCTGGTTGTAAAAGGAACTGAACGTATTGGAAACTTGTTTATGGTAGGCTGGCATTGCTTAATTGATTACGTGGGTCAAAGTTGATTCACAGAAGTGTATTGTGCCATATCACAACGTGTTGCTGAACTCATGAGCGCTGAGCGGCATGATTTTCCATGTTTGAAGCGGGCCTATATGCCTATTTATTTGGCAAGACAGCTGTGCATGGCTGCGTCTCACTGTAGTAGGCTGAAGGCTATGTTTTGGTTATTTGGATCTCCATTTGTTTACTGCGTTTGTTTACTGTTAGTGTAACTAGCCTACATATACAGTGCCTTCGGAAAGTATTCAGACCCCTTGACTTTTTCCACATTTTGTTATGTTACAGCCTTATTCTAAAATGGATGACATTTTTAAATATCCTCAGCAATCTACACACAATACCCCATAATGACAAAGCGAAAACAGGTTTTTAGACATTTATTACAAATAAAAAACAGAAATACCTTATTTACACAACTGTTCAGACCCTTTGCTATGAGACTCGAAATTGAGCATCATGTTTCCATTGATCATCCGTTTCTTCAACTTCATTGGAGTCCACCTGTGGTAAATTCAATTGATTGGACATGATTTGGAAAGGCACACACCTGTCTATATAAGGTCCCACAGTTGACAGTGCATGTCAGAGCAAAAACCAAGCCTTTAAGTCGAAGGAATTGTCCATAGAGCTCAGAGACAGGATTGTGTCGAGGCACAGATCTGGGGAAGGGTACCAAAAAAATGTCTGCAGCATTGAAGGTCCCCAAGAACATTCTTAAATGGAAGAATTTTGGAACCACTAAGACTCTTCCTAGAGCTGTCCGCCCTGCCAAACTCTGACAGAGCTCCAGAGTTCCTCTGTGGAGATGGGAGAACCTTCCAGAAGGACAACCATCTCTGCAGCACTCCACCAATCAGGCCTTTATGGTAGAGTGGCCAGGCGGAAGCCACTCCTCAGTAAAAGGCACATATGACAGCCCGCTTGGAGTTTGCCAAAAGGCACCTAAAGACTCACAGACCATGAGAAACAAGATTCTCTGGTCTGATGAAACCAAGATTGAACTCTTTGGCCTGAATGCCAAGCGTCACGTCTGGAGGAAACCTGGCACCATCCCTACAATGAAGCATGGTTGTAGCAGCATCATGCTGTGGGGATGTTTTTCAGCGGCAGGGACTGGGAGACTAGTCATTATCGAGGGAAAGATGAACAGAGAAAAGTACAGAGAGATCCTTGATGAAAACCTGCTCCAGAGCGCTCAGGACCTCAGACTGAGCTGAGAAGGTTCACCTTCCAACAGCACAACGACCCTAAGCACACAGCCATGACAACGCAGGAGTGGCTTCGGGACAAGTCTCTGAATGTCCTTGAGTGGCCCAGCCAGAGCCCGGACTTGAACCCGATCGAACAACGCTGCCAAATGTGCTTCAACAAAGTACTGAGTAAAAGGTCTGAATGTGATATTTCCATTTTTTATTTATTTAGAAATATGCAAAAATGTATTAAAACTTGTTTTTGCTTTGTCATTATGGGGTATTGTGTGTAGATTGATGAGGATTTTGGGGGGGGAATAAGGCTGTAACTTAACAAAATGTGGAAGAAGTCAAGGGGTCTGAATACTTTCCAAATGCACTGTATGTAATTTACATAGATCGACCATGTTAATCAATAGACTTACCTGCCCTACCATGAGTCAAGCAGGAGATGGCGCCATCAACCAAGCTAAGGTACCTGAGAACTTTGAGAGAACCACATTTAGAGTGAAAAGTTCATTCGTACCTCCCCCCCCAAACGCAATGCATCCATAGAAACCTTCTTCAGGATTGTTGAAAATGATGTAGGTGACCTACTGAAAGACAAACAGAAAGACAAATCCTATGATAACTTGAGTAGAGACGAGAGAACGGCTCTTAAGGACTTACAATCAGATCCTTCGATTATCATAAAATAAATTGATAAAGAGGGAGGAATTTGTATACAAAACAAATGTGACTATGTGAATATATGTCGCCGACAACTATCTAAAGGTGACTTCTATCACAGACTGTATTATGACCCTACCCTAGAATTCCAGCATAATATCACATCCACAGTGGAAAGCTGTTTGGAATCAGGACAAATCGCCAAAAACAATGTGAATTTCTATGTGTGAAATTTCCTAAAATATCAAATGTTGACAAAATTACACAAACAAGTGTTTCCTCCCCCAGGTACACCCATTGTAGCAGCAATCGACTCTGTGACGTCCAACATTTCTAAGTTTGTGGACCACCACATTAAACCGATGGTTGAGAATCTCCCGTCTTATGTCAGACACTAGTCACATGACCTCATTGATAGAGGGCTTAGGAAGGATACCAGAGGGCACCCTGCTGGCCACTTCTGATGTGGAGAGCTTGTACACTAACATCCCACACACTGGAGGCTTGCAGGCACTGCAACATTTCCTTCAGAAGAGTGACCCTACCCTTGCTCCATCCAATGATTGCATCTTGCAACTCACTGAACTGGTATTATCCAATAACTACTTCATCTTTGAGTCAGACTTTTTACTTCAAGTCCGGGGTGTAGCCATGGGTTCCCCCTTTGCCCCCAGTTATGCCAACCTGTATGTGGGACAATTTGAGGAAGCACTCACTTACAAAACAGAGACACACCACCTACTTTCTAAAATCCTCCTACGGAAGAGATACATAGATGATGTCTTTGTGTTCTGGGAAAGAAGTCAACAGGAACTTTGAACGGTAGTGTACATTATTGTTTAAATTAATTCCTAACTCTGTTAAACGAGAGCTCTGAATATCTCAAATTCACCATGCAGACTGATGAGAGACAAATAAACTAGCTGGATTGATGGATAATCAAAGAGAATGATGCAGTACATACAGACTTATACACAAAGCCCACAGACTGCAATACCCTGCTACATGCGGATAGCATGCATCCCCTTCCCTTCAAGAATGGTCTACCATATAGCCAGTTACGCAGGGTTAAACGAATCTGTGGCCACCAGTTAGATTTTGACAGCAACGCTAAGAAAATGATAGATACATTCAAAATGAGAGGCTACATACAAGGACAAAACTCTTGATGCTGCAATTATGAAAATATCTCAAAAACCAAGAGAGGAATTCCTTAAAACTAAACCGAAGAAGAAAAACAACGCAACAGTATTTTGCACTAAGTACACCAAGTGTTCGGAGAAAATGAAAGCAATCCTGAAAAAGCACTGGCATATTTTGCAATCAGACCAAAGAAATTGCACACCTCTTCAAGGAACCCCCACTGGTGGTCTATAAGCGGGGTCGCAATATTGGGGATAGTTTAGTGAGATCTGACCTGCCCCCTGAGCCCACTCTGACACTCTTGACACCCATTCCAAATGGGAACTACAAATGTGGCTCATGCGCACAGTGCAATAGCACAAAAAAAACATCCTTCTTCAGACACCCACATACAGGTCGAAAAATCCTTGTTAGGGGTATCATCTCATGCAAGACAAAGGGAGTAATCTATCTCACCTGTTCATGTGGGAAAGACTACATAGGACAAATGAAAAGACAATTAAAACAAACCATAGCTGAACACTGACTATCCAGTAGAAGCTCACTTTGTTGAAGCTAACCATCCCATCTCCTCCCTCAAATACACAGACATTGAGCATGTTGCTCTACCAATGAGAGGAGGTAACATGGAGATCCTACTACTACAGAGGGAGGGCCTACTGGATATCCTGTCTAAAAACATTGACCCCTAGTGGTCTGAATATTGAGTTTGATCTCAGACCCTTCTAATGAACAATAATGTTTTTAGTCTTGTAAATGAATATATTCTTTCTACAGCTTGTCAGAATACACCCAATATGTTCCCCCTGTTGATGATGCTTATTATGCATTATGGTTGAACCAAAAGATTACATGTAATAAAAATGTAATGAAATTGGAAACAATTAAATATATGTGTGAAATTAAATTAAACAATTAAAGTACACTACCGTTCAAAAGTTTGGGGTCACTTAGAAATGTCCTTGTTTTCCATGAAAACATACATGAAATGAGTTTGAATAGGAAATATAGCTAAATGAATAGGAAATGTAGTCATTGACAAGGTTAGAAATAATGATTTTTAATTCAAATAATAATTATGTCCTTCAAACTTTGCTTTTATCAAAGAATCCTCCATTTGCAGCAATTACAGCCTTGCAGACCTTTGGCATTCTAGTTGTCAATTTGTTGAGGTAATCTGAAGAGATGTCACCCCATGCTTCCTGAAGCACCTCCCACAAGTTGGATTGGCTTGATGGGCACTTCTTACGAACTATACGGTCAAGCTGCTCCCACAACAGCTCAATAGGGTTGAGATCTGGTGACTGTGCTGGCCACTCCATTATAGACAGAATACCAGCTGACTGCTTCTTCCCTAAATAGTTCTTGCATAGTTTTGGAGCTGTGCTTTGGGTCATTGTCCTGTTGTAGGAGGAAATTGGCTCCAATCAAGCGCCGTCCACAGGGTATGGCATGGCGTTGCAAAATGGAGGGATAGCCTTCCTTCTTCAATATCCCTTTTACCCTGTACTAATCTCCCACTTTACCACCACCAAAGCACCCCCAGACCATCACATTGCCTCCACCATGCTTGACAGATGGCATCAAGCACTCCTCCAGCATCTTTTCATTTGGTCTGCGTCTCACAAATGTTCTTCTTTGTGATCCGAACACCTCAAACTTCGATTAGTCTGTCCATAACACTTTTTTCCAATTGTCCTCTGTCCAGTGTCTGTGTTCTTTTGCCCATCTTATTCTTTTCTTTTATTGGCCAGTCTGAGATATGGCTTTTTCTTTGTAACTCTGCCTAGAAGGTCAGCATCCCGGAGTCGCCTCTTCACTGTTGACGTTGAGACTGGTGTTTTGCGGGTACTATTTAATGAAGCCGCCAGTTGAGGACCTGTGAGGCATCTGTTTCTCAAACTAGGATGTATTTGTCCTCTTGCTCAGTTGTGCACCGGGGCCTCCCACTCCTCTTTCTATTCTGGTTAGAGCCAGTTTGCTCTGTTCTGTGAAGGGAGTAGTACACAGCGTTGTACGAGATCTTCAGTTTCTTGGCAATTTCTCGCATGGAATAGCCTTAATTTCTCAGAACAATAATAGACTGACGCATTTCAGAAGCAAGTTATTTGTTTCTGGCCATTTTGAGCCTGTAATCAAACCCACAATTGCTGATGCTCCAGATACTCAACTAGTCTCAAGAAGGCCAGTTTTATTGCTTCTTTAATTAGCACAACAGTTTTCAGCTGTGCTAACATATAATTGCAAAAGGGTTTTCTAATGATCAATTAGCCTTTTAAAATGATAAACTTGGATTAGCAAACACAACGTGCCATTGGAACACAGGACTGATGGTTTCTGATAATGGGCCTCTGTACGCCTATGTAGATATTCCCTTAGAAATCAGCTGTTTCCAGCTACAATAGCCATTTACAACATTAACAATGTCTACACTGTATTTCTGATCAATTTGATGTTATTTTAATGGACACATTATTATTATTATTTTTTCAAAAACAAGGACATTTCTAAGTGACCCCAAACTTTTGAACGGTAGTGTATGTTGATGCTAATGTAATGCTAATGCTAACGATAACAATGGCCTAATATATTCAATATGCTGTAAACTATTGTATTTTAACAGTTTCACTCAATTAATTCTAATCAACCTAATTATTATGCAACAACCCCCACTATTGTTTGTCTACATAACCTTGTTCAAGCATTCATGACATTACCCTGAAGAATAATAATAATATGCCATTTAGCAGACACTTTTATCCAAAGCGACTTACAGACATGCGTGCATAATTTTTTTTTTTTGTGTATGGGTGGTCCCGGGGATCGAACCCACTACCTTAGCGTTACAAGCGCCGTGCTCTACCAGCTGAGCTAAGAAGGCACAGTAATGCCGAAACGTTGGTGTTTTACCCAATAAATTACTGGGAGTTTATATATATAGAGTGTGCGACTCTCTCTTAATTTATTTTTACAGTTTATTCGCCGTTAGTCAGCACCTCCACACAAAATAATTGTGTGCTCCAGGTCCAGCTTTTAATTAGACTATTATTATTTTCATTGTGCACCTTGTGAACGGGTACCTCGACTTCATCATGAAGCATTTTCAGCTGGCTCTGGCTCACTTCACTAGCACAGCAAATGTATATTGTTCTAGCTAGCAGGAGATCTGGTTCTCTGAGTAATCTGCCTCGCTCTTGGTCATTTGTGATTCCACACACAATTCTGTCCCGTATCAGTGACTCGGTAAGTTGTTGAAACGCACAGTCTTTTACTTTATTTTTTAGATCAGTCACATAAGCATCAATTGACTCTGTTTGTCCTTGCACTCTCGTAAAAAAAGATATGCCTCAGGTACGTCCAATTTTTTGTTGGCTCACAGTACGTTCGGAAAAGCTCTTTTAATACATCCAAGTCATCTACATCATCGTCAAAATCAAAGTATAGAACACTTTGATTGTATCATCTCCGGCTACGTGCAGGAATGTGGCACATTTCACTTTTTGGGATTTCTTTGAGATGCCACTAGCATTATATAAAGGTTACATTTCTGGATCCACACTCTCCAATTTTCGGCTAGATTTCCCTCTAGGTTCAGAGTTGGTGTTCTCATTTGTTCCATGTTTTGTTATGTTGAGCTTCCCTTTGTATTACTTTTTAACTTCTGACACCATGTAATATATTAGCACACTGAGGCAGGGATGCGGGTAAAATAACGTTTATCTGATGTCATCGGTCAAGTGCAAGTACAGATGATCACATGTAGTAATTAGTAACAGCACCACCCTCAACACTCCCGGTAAATACATGTATATACATGACAGGCACAAAGTCAGATTCCACAGCCACAAAGTCAACATTTCTGTCATTTAGCAGACACTCTTATCCAAAGCGACTTACAGTGGTGAGTGCAAACATGTTCATACTTTTTTTATACTTAGCTTTTTGGTCTTAATTTAAGGTTAGGGTTAAGCATAAGGTTAGCGGTGTGGTTAGGGTTAAGGTTAGGTTTAAAATAAAAGTTGAAGAGAAATTGTAGAAATGGGCGGGGTTTCATGACATTGTGGCTATAGAAGCTAGTGACGACCGCTCCACCCTTGTCCTTCTCCTCCTTCCAACTGGTGGGGTTAGTGCTATACAGGGATCTTTGGGACGTCCCTACCCTAACCCCTACCCTTACTATAACCCTTACCTAACCTTAACCCTTACCAGGAAGAGTAGTTGCTGCTTTCGCAACAGCTAATGGGGATCCTAATAATATACCAAATACCTTAACCATTTTCAATTTCAACTTCAATGGGGTAGGGGCGTCCCAAGGATACCGGATAGCAAGGACCCAACTGGTGGAGGTGGGTGGTGTATCCTCCTATCATCATTCTTCATTATTTATTTGATGGCTTTTAAATGAATTCTCCAATAGTCTATTACAGGCTTATTAACATTTTCTTCCTGCCATACACACACACACACACGCATGCACGCACGCACACACACACACACACACACACACACACACACACACACACACACACACACACACACACACACACACACACACACCCTCTGCCATCCTTTCTGTGACATTACCATCAGATAGGCTTGAAAAAGTCAGACAATTTCAATGAACAGCTTTTATGTAAAATACACATACAAATAACATAGTAAAGTGCAAAAGTCATTGAAAGTAAAAGGCTAATTACAGTGAGAAACAGTGAGTGAAGTACGTAATAAGGAAACATCATTGTTTAGTCACATAATTAGTCTCACATTACCATAACAACTGATTTCATACAGGTGTCATACTGTGTCTGTTTTCTGTCTGATGTCCAGCAAGTTGTTAAAACAAGATCTGGAATAATGTTTGATACACTTCATTAAAGGTTTTTTCCCCTCCCACTCTGAACATCTTACTGTGCATGTTTTGAAATTACTTACATAGTGGATACACCATAAAACTGTATTTCTATGGGATAGAGTATCTCCTTTAGGCTACTATTCCAACAACAAACTCACAATCGATACAACATTCTCTTTCCCTTTATTATCTATTCTTGCAGATACAGTGGGGAGAACAATTATTTGATACACTGCCGATTTTGCAGGTTTTCCTACTTACAAAGCATGTAGAGGTCTGTAATTTTTATCATAGGCACACTTCAACTGTGAGAGACGGAATCTAAAACAAAAATCCAGAAAATTACATTGTATGATTTTTAAGTAATTCATTTGCATTTTATTGCATGACATAAGTATTTGATCACCTACCAACCAGTAACAATTCCAGCTCTCACAGACCTGTTAGTTTTTCTTTAAGAAGCCCCCCTGTTCTCCACTCAGCACCTGTTTGAACTCGTTACCTGTATAAAAGACACCTGTCCACACACTCAATCAAACAGACTCCAACCTCTCCACAATGGCCAAGACCAGAGAGCTGTGTAAGGACATCAGGGATAACATTGTAGACCTGCACAAGGCTGGGATGGGCTACAGGACAATAGGCAAGCAGCTTGGTGAGAAGGCAACAACTGTTGGCGCAATTATTAGAAAATGGAAGAAGTTCAAGATGATGGTCAATCACCCTCGGTCTGGGGCTCCATGCAAGATCTCACCTCGTGGGGCATCAATGATCATGAGGAAGGTGAGGGATCAGCCCAGAACTACACGGCAGGACCTGGTCAATGACCTGAAGAGAGCTGGGACCACAGTCTCAAAGAAAACCATTAGTAACACACCACGCCGTCATGGATTAAAATCCTGCAGCGCACGCAAGGTCCCCCTGCTCAAGCCAGCGCATGTCCAGGCCCGTCTGAAGTTTGCCAATGACCATCTGGATGATCCAGAGGAGGAATGGGAGAAGGTCATGTGGTCTGATGAGACAAAAATATAGCTTTTTGGTCTAAAGTCCAATCGCCGTGTTTGGAGGAAGAAGAAGGATGAGTACAACCCCAAGAACACCATCCCAACCGTGAAGCATGGAGGTGGAAACATCATTCTTTGGGGATGCTTTTCTGCAAAGTGGACAGGACGACTGCACCGTATTGAGGGGAGGATGGATGGGGCCATGTATTGCGAGATCTTGGCCAACAACCTCCTTCCCTCAGTAAGGGCATTGAAGATGGGTCGTGGCTGGGTCTTCCAGCATGACAACGACCCGAAACACACAGCCAGGGCAACTAAGGAGTGGCTCCGTAAGAAGCATCTCAAGGTCCTGCAGTGGCCTAGCCAGTCTCCAGACCTGAACCCAATAGAAAATATTTGGAGGGAGCTGAAAGTCCGTATTGCCCAGCGACAGCCCCGAAACCTGAAGGATCTGGAGAAGGTCTGTATGGAGGAGTGGGCCAAAATCTCTGCTGCAGTGTGTGCAAACCTGGTCAAGACCTACAGGAAATGTATGATCTCTGTAATTGCAAACAAAGGTTTCTGTACCAAATATTAAGTTCTGCTTTTCGGATGTATCAAATACTTATGTCATGCAATAAAATGCAAATGAATTACTTAAAAATCATACAATGTGATTTTCTGGATTTTTGTTTTAGATTCCGTCTCTCACAGTTGAAGTGTACCTATGATAAAAATTATAGACCTCTACATGCTTTGTAAGTAGGAAAACCTGCAAAATCGGCAGTGTATCAAATACTTGTTCTCCCCACTGTATGTGCATAATTTGTATGCATATTCACCCTCTAAAAATCTCTCCTCTCTCAACATCTCAAGTCCAATCCGATGTGTGCACATGGAGTCCTCATAACATATCCTCTTCTACACTCTGAAGGAACAACAATACCACATGCAACACAAGCAATGACTAAATCACAAAACAAGTGTCATGCTACAGAATGAGCATTCAGTATTTCCTAGTGAGTGATAGGGCTTTGAATGATGTTTTTCAACAATTCCAGGAGTTTCAGTCTTGTCTTCCCCTGTCACAATTTTCTCAGCTCAGCGATGTGCAGTAAATATCTGTCTCTCAAGAGGGAAGTGGAAAAGTTGAGGAGAATGGAGTCCCTGCTTCACCCCTCCTCCTCTTTCAAATCAGCTCCAACATGTTCCAAGACAACAGGCATTTGACTGACCATCTGAATGAGCAGTGTTTCTCTAAGTCCCCTTTTTGGACTCCCATTCCTGAAAAACAGGACACACATTTAGTGTTTGTACATAAAGTAAACCTATGAGGGCTGATCTTGCTGTAAGTTTGTTACAGTCTGCGTTCTGATTTTGATATTGAACATAGACACAGTGCTACTTAATAAAACAGGTAAATGTCAATGGGTGCCCTGGATTTTGTTTTATGACAGCCTACCTTGGCTTTCTGCATGACATTCCCCTTGCTAGATGCATAGATGGATGGGGGGTGCTTCCGCATCTCAGCAGCACAGTTGACTGGCATGGATGCCTCACTGTATATATTCTCAACTTTACTGATGTGGACCTGGACATACAGTATGAGGAAAGAGAATTTGAGAATATCTGTTTATGGGTAAATAATACTATTTCTACTTACAATACTCATCAAAACACCTCAGATGGAAATACAGTGAGGGAAAAAAGTATTTGATCCCCTGCTGATTTTGTACGTTTTCCCACTGACAAAGAAATGATCAGTCTATAATTTTAGTGGTAGGTTTATTTGAACAGTGAGAGACAGAATAACAACAACAAAAATCCAGAAAAACGCATGTCAAAAATGTTATACATTTATTTTGCATTTTAATGAGGGAAATAAGTATTTGACCCCCTTTCAATCAGAAAGATTTCTGGCTCCCAGGTGTCTTTTATACAGGTAACGAGCTGAGATTAGGAGCACACTCTAAAAGGGAGTGCTCCTAATCTCAGTTTGTTAACTGTATAAAAGACACCTGTCCACAGAAGCAATCAATCAATCAGATTCCAAACTCTCCACCATGGCCAAGACCAAAGAGCTCTCCAATGATGTCAGGGACAAGATTGTAGACCTACACAAGGCTGGAATGGGCTACAAGACCATCTCCAAGCAGCTTGGTGAGAAGGTGACAAAAGTTGGTGAGATTATTCGCAAATGGAAGAAACACAAAATAACTGTCAATCTCCCTCGGCCTGGGGCGCCATGCAAGATCTCACCTCGTGGAGTTGCAAAGATCATGAGAACGGTGAGGAATCAGCCCAGAACTACACGGGAGGATCTTGTCAATGATCTCAAGGCAGCTGGGACCATAGTCACCAAGAAAACAATTGGTAACACACTACGCCGTGAAGGACTGAAATCCTGCAGCGCCCGCAAGGTCCCCCTGCTCAAGAAAGCACATATACAGGGCCGTCTGAAGTTTGCCAATGAACATCTGCATGATTCCGAGGAGAACTGGGTGAAAGTGTTGTGGTCAGATGAGACCAAAATGGAGCTCTTTGACATCAACTCAACTCGCCGTGTTTGGAGGAGGAGGAATGCTGCCTATGACCCCAAGAACACCATCCCCACTGTCAAACATGGAGGTGGAAACATTATGCTTTGGGGGTGTTTTTCTGCTAAGGGGACAGGAACACTTCACTGCATCAAAGGGACGATGGACGGGGCCATGTACCGTCAAATCTTGAGTGAGAACCTCCTTCCCTCAGCCAGGGCATTGAAAATGGGTTGTGGATTAGTATTCCAGCATGACAATGACCCAAAACACACAGCCAAGGCAACAAAGGAGTGGCTCAAGAAGAAGCACATTAAGGTCCTGGAGTGGCCTAGCCAGTCTCCAGACCTTAATCCCATAGAAAATCTGTGGAGGGAGCTGAAGGTTCGAGTTGCCAAACGTCAGCCTCGAAACCTTAATGACTTGGAGAAGATCTGCAAAGAGTGGAACAAAATCCCTCCTGAGATGTGTTGAAACCTGGTGGCCAACTACAAGAAACGTCTGACCTCTTTGATTCCCAACAAGGGTTTTGCCACCAAGTACTGACCTCTTTGATTCCCAACAAGGGTTTTGCCACCAAGTACATGTCATGTTTTGCAGAGGGTTCAAATACTTATTTCCCTTATTATAATGCAAATACATTTATAAAAATTTTGACATACGTCTTTCTGGATTTTTTTGTTGTTATTCTGTCTCTCACTGTTAAAATAAACCTACCATTAAAATTATAGACTGATCATGTCTTTGTTAGTGGGCAAACGTACAAAATCAGCAGGGGATCAAATACTTTTTTCCCTCACTGTACATGCTAAGACAGTAAGAAATCTTCAACATAAAAACCTTAATAATGCAAAGCAGGGTTGCGGTCAATTCAATAAATTCTATGAATTCTCAATTAACTGAAACGTTGAGGCATTTTTTTTCAAAACTTGGTCCATTTATTTTATTTTAAATTCGAATGACTTCCTGAATTGGTTGCCTTCAATTTGAATTGACCCCAACCCTGATGCAAAAGTATACGGTTTAGCTTATCTACAATAAACCATTGTCTAGAGTAGACTTGATATAACTCTTTGTGATGTGCTGTAGGAGAAGCTGTAGGCCAGGTACCTTTCTGGGGGGTTTGCTAGTGGGGGGTTTGCTAGTGGGGGGTTTGCTCTTTGTGAGCGGCCCCAGCACCCCTCCAGCCAGGGACTTCTTTAGGTTCTCCTTCACCTCAGTGAGACGCAGCTCCAGGTCCACCCGCTCCCCCTCCTTCCCCCTGCAGCTTTCCTCCAGCTGGCCCAAACGCTTCTCTAGCTGCTTCTGCTGCTTACCTGACCACAGTCACACACAGTCATCCATTTGTTAGGCTCCATGGCTCCTCAATATGTCTGAGTGATGAATTCCTATACTGTGGCCAAGCAGTAGGTGGACCATTAATATATACAATATAAATTGTCTAGGTTTGCTCTCTCTATTTAAGGAAATTCAATACAAGATTGTATGTGTTTTACTTTCTTACCTGTAGCATCCTTCAGTTGTTCCTTCGCCTCTTTCCTCTCCTTGCGTAATACGAGCAGGGCATTTTTGATGACCTCTCGCTCCTTCTCCATCTCTTCTGTCTCCTTCAGGTACCTCCTGGCGTCCTCCTCGGCTCGTGTTTTGCCATACTTCCCTGATACATACTGATTCGCATCTAAGATCGAGAAACCACGAAAATACATTCTGAGTGGTCACATTTATACATCATATAGGTGTTCTCTAGGCATACTCTTAAAGTTGAGATAATGTCAAATTCCCCCCTATCTTCCCAGCATCACACACAGTCTTGGCTGACCTTCGGGGGACTTACTGGAACCGTGTCTCTTTATAGTGACTAAGGAATCCACCTTCTCTATCTCTCTGCTGCTGGAGAAAGAAGAGTGGCGTTTCACCTGAGCTCCTGGTCTGGGTACTGGCTCCTCTGGCTGCTGTGGAGGGCAGGGAAGGGGGATAGGGAAAGGAGATATGATGAGAAAGGCAGGGTAACAGGGAGGGAAAGGTGTGTAGTGGAGAAAGATATGAGAGAATAAAGAGTTGAACAGAGGTGATGGCCAGGGATGAGAGAGAGGGAGGAAAGAGGAATGAACAGATTAACTCTTTCACTAATGTGTGATAAGTAAAGTGTGGTATTGCAAAACTTACTGGAAACGTACTGTTTTTGAGAAACTAGACCACAAGTTAAATAAACAAACCATTTCAAGTTGAGTAAACTGGAATGTGAGAGATGTATCACAAAGTATTACAGTCAAATTGTGAAAGCTGGATTTAAAGAAAATACTTGACACAGCTGGATACACAGTTGGATATGATTGTCATATTTTCCCTCAAAGAGTTTTCCCAAAAGCGTCAGGGCTGTGTGAGAGATCTCTGTACTGCTTACACAACTCAGAACTGCTCTGAAAGCAGCTCATCAGAACTCATCCCTGGAGCACTATCTACGCTCCCACATACACACAAAGGAGCCTATCGACTTTCAGCAGGCCTTCACACTGCTCTAGAATAAAAAGCCCTCTGACTCCTACTCTCTGATTCTGTGGAGAGATATGGGAGGATATAGGAACAGATCATTCATTAACTGGATCCTTTAAACTCCAGCTGCAGCTAAGGGTGGACACAGACGTGTGGATTCATTAGATTTACTGTAAATCTCCTTACCAATAGACCCTCGTAAGGAACCTCATCATAGGTTCTGGTGTCTGTGGAGGTACCACTGGAGGAGGTAGCCCAACTATGGGACAGGATGAGGAGGAAAGAGACATAAGCATTTACCAATATGACCATCTAGCATTAGCAATGTACTCCCCTTAAAATGTAAAGCACTTTGAGCATTTGGAAACTACCACAGGCCAAAGGGCCAAGCCCCACTCTATCAAACTCACAGGAAGGAGTGTCTTGCTGCGTCTGTGATGTTAGTGATGGTGTCCACGTCCACGTAGTCGTAATGCAAGGCCTCTGGGGTGGTGGCGCAGCCAGACTCTGCCAGCAGAACCCCCAGCCAGCGGCCCATTTGCTCTGAACAGCTGGCCTGATGGACACACAGAGACACTTACATCACAACATGTCACTGATCCCAAAGGGTACTAGAACCCATGAGACAGACCGGAGATACTGGGCAAGGGATTTAAGTCTGTAGTAGGGTAGAAAATATCAAACAGTGGGTTACAAATACACACAAACACAGAAATACCTCCAGTGCAGCCACCTCGTTGCCTCCTTGCAGGATGCGGAAAGCGAAGGGGTGCTTGGGCCCCAGTCCAGGTACGACCTCAGCCCCATGGAGGACCACAGCGCTGACGTGAGTACGCAGGTCACCCCTTTCTTTGTGCAGGTACAGTGTTCCATCCTTTACACAGCACCATCTCTCCCTCCAGCACTGGTTCACAAGCACATTCAGATAACCTGGGGACAGGGGAATGGAAAACATACATATTCTCACTGCTGGACTTTCCATAAAGGTTATTACATGGGGAAGTGGAAAATAACAGGTTTTAAAGGTGGGAGGACAAAAGAAAGATGAAAATAGTAACATAATGCAGAGTACATAATGTAGAGGACATATTGCAGAGTACATAATGTAGAGGACATAATGTAGAGTACATAATGTAGAGGACATAATATAGAGTACATTATGTAGAGTACATAATGCAGAGTACATAATGCAGAGTACATAATGTAGAGGAAATAATATAGAGGACATAATGTAGAGTACATAATGTAGAGGACATAATGTAGAGTACATAATGTAGAGGCAATAATGCAGAGTACATAATGTAGAGGACATAATATAGAGTACATAATGTAGAGGACATAATATAGAGTACATTATGTAGAGTACATAATGTAGAGGACATAATGTAGAGGACATAATGTAGAGTACATAATGCAGAGACATAATGCAGAGTACATAATGTAGAGGACATAATGTAGAGTACATAATGTAGAGGACATAATATAAGACATTATTAGAGTACATAATGTAGAGACATAATGTAGAGTACATAATGTAGAGTACATAATGTAGAGGACATAATGTAGAGTACATAATGCAGAGGACATAATGTAGAGTACATAATGTAGAGGACATAATGTAGAGTACATAATGTAGAGTACATAATGTAGAGTACATAATGCAGAGTACATAATGCAGAGTACATAATGTAGAGTACATAATGTAGAGGACATAATGCAGAGTACATAATGTAGAGTACATAATGTAGAGGACATATGTAGAGACATAATGAGAGTACATAATGCAGAGTACATAATAAGAGTACATAATGTAGAGTACATAATGTCAGAGTACATAATGATGTAGTACATATTAGAGTACATAATGCAGAGTACATAATGTAGAGTACATAATGTAGAGTACATAATGAGAGTACATAATGTAGAGTACATATGCAGAGTAGATAATGTAGAGACATAATGTAGAGTACATAATGCAGAGTACATAATGTAGAGTACATAATGTAGAGGACATATAGAATGATATGAGAGTACATAATGTAGAGCAGAGTACATAATGCAGAGTACATAATACAGAGTACATAATGTAGAGTACACAATGTAGAGTACATAATGTAGAGTACATAATGCAGAGTACATAATATAGAGTACATATAGAGTATTGTGTAGAGTACATTATGTAGAGTACATAATGCAGAGTACATAATGCTGAGTACATAATGCAGAGGACATAATGTAGAGTACATAATATAGAGGACATAATATAGAGTACATTATGTAGAGTACATAATTCAGAGTACATAATGCAGAGTACATAATACAGAGTACATAATGTAGAGTACATATAATAATAATAATATGCCATTTAGCAGACGCTTTTATCCAAAGCGACTTACAGTCATGCGTGCATACATTTTTGTGTATGGGTGGTCCCGGGGATCGAACCCACTACCTTGGCGTTACAAGCGCCGTGCTCTACCAGCTGAGCTACACATAATGTTGAGTACATAATGCAGAGTACATAATGTAGAGGACATAATGTAGAGTATATGTAGAGCCTGGGTGGCTGCAGAATCTCAATTTGTAACACATAAAGCTGCAGTAATAAGTAGCTACAACTAGCTATGCAGTGTTCAGCCCAGAGATTATGACTGAGAGAGAGAAAAATGTAAAATATGACATGGATGCAGTGTGCTCACCACAGCGGGGATTGTCGTCATGGTAGGAAGAGGACAGAGTGTCTCCTGGGAGAGGAGGCTTCTTCTTAGAGAAACTGATGATCCTGTTCATCTTCCGTCCAGCCGCTCTGCTCATAGATCCCGTCAGCTCTGTAAACGCCCCCCTCTTCCCCTTCCCTGAATAGAAACACACTGAGTCGTTTACAAAAGACTTGTTTACAAAAATAATATATATATTATGTCTTAAACCCCTCTTTTTGTTAGGATTCTTATTTACTGGAAGCTCAAGTTATAATGTGGCACATTATGTTTGGCAATTGAATAATGTAGACAAATTCTGTTCTGTACTTCAATTTTGTTTTGTTTTGAAGTCTCTCCGCTCTGTCTCCCAGGTGCTACTCTCTCTGCCTTGTGTACGTACAGTATATGTCCTATGATGTCATTGTGAGACAAAGGCAGGAAGAGGGCAGGAAGGATGTTTCTGCTCTGAGCCACACGTCCTGTCTTTTATGTGCTTTAGGTCAAACATCTGACCCAAGAACATGGATCACGCTCCTTTTTTTCATTATGTTTTCCTCCTTCTCCACTGCCCAACATAGTGCTACATTTCACTCTGCTTGGGCCTGTGACTGACAGTTTAAAATACAGAACAGAATGTTATTCTAAAATAAAAATACATCTTGTAACTGACGTGGTCTTTCACAATGTAGAACTATCAGAATGCAGACAGGTAAATACAAAGCTGCAGTATGTATATAAGAACACAGATATACAGGGATGTTCAGGTATGCTGAGGCAGATTGGGGCCTAACCTTGGTCACAGTTGTCCCGGAGCTGACCAGAGGGCAGGTTGTCACCAGTGGCCACGCTGTCAGAGTCGGAGGTGTGCTTGTCAGCTCCTAGTAACTAAGAGAGAGAAAGGAATTAGGTTAGAGGCGGCAGAAAGGCATTGCCATGCTGGCAAGAAAGGCATTTCACTGTACTTGTGCACGTGGCATTCAAAACTTGAAACACACACACACATCCACGCACGTTCACACACATAGACACTGCAATGAGAGAAAGATTTCCAGCTAGGACATACACATGGTGGCACACTGCCTAAAAGCCATTACTGTCTCAGAATAATCCTGAAATGGGTTCAACAGTCTGTCTGTCCAAAGCCATACATTTAGGCTGTAATGAAATCACTCTATGTGAGTTTCAGTTGCTGATTGCTACCCTTTACTTTGACAGCTGTTTCCTTCCCACGGTCAGCAGGCAGCATGAGCATCAACCCCCCTCTGATGAGTGTTGAGACTGAGTAAACATACCATCAGTAACTGATAAAGATCAGGCAGCGCTACACCAGGGGTGTCAAACAGGGAGGATGTCTGTCTGTCTGACCTGTCTGTCTCTTCACTGGACTGTTTGCATTCTGTCTGGTTATTTACTATGACAACAAATTACTCCAAAGAGAAGCCATGTGGATATATACATTAAATTCTGTATTTCCACATGGTTTAAATGAAGAATTAGATTTCACCTCCTTCCTATAAGCCACATTTAGACTGTTATACAAGAACACTGTCCATATCCAATTTTGCATATCGTTTATGAGTTGGCCCCAAATATTTATGAACGTCTTTGCCTGATGTCCTTTGTGGTGGGCTATCTCATGAATTGATGTGATGTATTTAGGTGAGCGGACACCTGGGGCGATTGATTTGTGAGTAGCTCTTCTTGCCCGATCCCATACCCTATAATTCGGTATTTCTTTGTGACTAATTTGTATACAGGTAGACCAGAAAAGTCCCATCCCTGATTGGCAGATGAGTGGCAACCCTGATTAGAAGCACCTGCTGCTTATCCGTTGTTCTTTACAAATGCTGTTTTGAATTCAAATAAAATTGTACCCACACCCTGAAGAAGGCTGTAAAGCCGAGATGTCTGTGTCCACTATCCCTGATGCAGTGATGTTATGTGAATTATTTAACAAACTATTTTAGTGTCTCTGTGCGTCTCCCAAAAGGTTGTAAGTCTTTTGGGATTTAAGTAACGGCCAGAGTCCCGGTCTGCATAGTCAGAGATATTTATTCATTGAGAATTCTGCCATCACAATTTCAGAATCCCTCCCCTCTGTAGGCGGGCTGTAGTTTTCCACTCTAAAACTGCTCTACTGACCATCAGTTCACACACACACACACATATACACACATACATACACACATACACACACACACACACACACACACACACACGCGCACACACACATACCCTACTCCCTGCATTACTCAGTTATTGCCGTTCTCACAATATTCTGCACCATGTTTTCATAACAGTTTCTCCCCTCCCTAAATTGGGAGGCCTCTTTATCTTAGTTTCTCAGTTGTCTTTGTTGTCTGGCCTAACTCTTACTCACATTGCTAAATAGTGGCTCAATGCCATAGCCTTTACTGGTCCTACACTCACACATTTCTAACACATTATACACAGTTTCAGGGTGTAATAATTAGTCATTAATAATTAATCTATCAAGTGAAAATAATTAAAAACATTGAATAATGAAGTAAGCTTTATGCGACATATTTTTGAGTGTGAACCCATTACACCTCTTTGTTTGTCTGGTTATTTACTGCAGCATGGTGATGTATGTGGATGTTAAATATAGCTTGTGAAAACACCAGTCCAAGAGTGTCTGAGTCAGTTTGAGTAAAACAGGGTGGCCAATAGGGTCTGTTCAGTGCATTCAGTGTGCTGGGTTACAGGCTTATAGGCTGAGTGTGGTAGCCAGCGGGGATAATGAGGGGAGGCCCACCTTGTCCAGCTCTTTCTTCCTCTGGATCATAGGAGAGGAGGAGCCCTCTAATCCGTCACTGCTGCTGGCCTGACTGGCCACCTCCCGGATCACCTTGAGCCATCGCTCCGCCTGCTCCTTACTCTGGACAGCCAGCACCAAGGCCTCTCCCCCAGGCAGGGAGAAACGCAGCTTGTGCTTCTTGCGGCGCGCCTCTTTGGGGACGTAGATGACATTACACAGGTTCAGCGGCAGCTCAATGTGGGGGCTGCTGTCTTTGATGCTCTTGTAGCACTGCAGAGAAAGACACACCAACAATCGTTTTTTATACTCTACAAGGGACTTTAAAATCACTTATAATGTCTAAATGTGTCTTAATTACATAAACGTTTAATAATAAACACATGCAACAGAGTTCCTGTTGTCCTACCTGTAATCTGTTGTCACGGACGACGGTCAGCTGTTTTGTCCACTGTCCGAAGCGTTTCTTGCGCAGCAGGAAGGCACAGATGCGACAGTCCTTCATGGGGCCCACAGAGTTCTCCTCTGACTGCCACCGCCGAGTCCTGTCCTGGCCCTTCGCCTCCTCATCCTCCTCATCATACGACTCATAGGAGCTGCTCAGCGCGTCTGAATCAGCGTCTGGAGAACAACAAAGGTTCCTGGATAAGAAGGTTCCTCCTCCCTCCCAATATGAAAATATAGCACAAGTACACATTCATCTCAACAGGGTGTTATGATTTTATACTCACAGGAGTTATTGCGCTGGCCATTGATTCGGGTGGTGGGGTAGTTGTTGTCAGCATCTTCATAGTATGCATCTTCAATGGAATTTGCGGGACTTGAGCTGACTAGAAGGAAGCAGGAGGTAAGAGATGAGATGTAACCCAATAATAACAATGTGTATGGACAGTGACTTCAGATGGTTATAGGTGACTGTTGGGAGGAATGTGAGTACTCACTGCATGTGGCGATGTTGGTGATGTACTGGGGCACCGTGCCAGGGTCCAAGGGCACTGCCTCCTCATAGTAGTCCTCTGGAGGAGGGGTGGTTGGCAGAGGAGGGGGTGTGTCAGTGGGACTCTAGGGGAAAAGGGTTACGGTTAGGCAAAATTCAATAACAAATGTGTTATAGATGCAATTATACAGTATAGTCAAATAGGCTATCTTACTTTAGAGGTCGGTATTTTGGAGATTTCCTTCTCTACCTGATCCTTCAGTTCTTCTGGGGAGGCTCTGAGCTCATGCAGGTCACAATCTGTTGGGAGTGGGACAATAAAATATATAATACTTTTTAAGAATCCTTTAAGAATTAAATCATGTGCTAGCAAGTTCTTCTTCATAGATATGAAATAATACAGATATGATATTTAACTCACCCAATTCCTCAAACAAGGATTCCACAAAGCTGGTGCCATTTCCATAAAGGGAAGTGTTCATGTATACGAAGTCTGATCCATTCACTTTAACAGAGAAGAGAACCGAGTACATGTAAAAAATGAACAAAAAAACTGCGTTCTGACCTTGAGCAAGGCAGTTAACCCCCAACAACACCTGCTTCATGGGCGCCGATGACATGGACGCCCACCTCTCTGATTCAGAGGGGTTGGGTTAAATGTGGAACACACACACACACACACACACACACTCTCACCTGATGGCTGCAGCTGCCCGAGTAGGCTCCGGACCACGCTCATCTTCTCTGCTGTGGCTGTGCTCACACTCTCTTGGTCCAGCAGCTTCAGCAGCACGTTCAGCTCACTCACCAGGTACTCCATCGCTGGGGGGAAAGAAGAACACACAGGTCAGAGGTCATGTATGAAACAATGAGTGACAATTTCAAGAGATTGTACAATACAATTACTGAGCAAATCTATCTTCATGGGTCAACTCTGTGCTGACAACAGAAGTGGCTTTGGGAGGAGCTAACCTCAGACATCTGGTTATTTAAACACGGTGGCTAGAAGAACCTAGACAAAATAATAATAATGTGGAGTCTGGCAGATTAATGCAATAAACAGGTATGATAGTCACAAAAGCAGAACCAGTGATTGACAGTCATTGTGCTAACGCTAGTTAGAATTGGCACACGAAACCACCTCTAACTTCCTTCATACTAGACACAGATACATACAAATGGTATCCATGTGTTCATCTGACTCTGTGGAATTTCCACACCTCAATATCAACCTCTCTTTCTGGCATTGCGATAAGGGGGTTCCCAGCACAGCACCCTCAAACCCATGACAGGACCATTTAATTATACAGAAACATCTGTTTATCAGCTACCCTGGTGATCAGTTATTTCTCTCAGTAGATGAGAGGCTTCACATCTCTTATCTTATCTGTAGTGGGGCATTCCTGGAGCTGAGAGGAGACACCAGAACTACAGTACCAGGCACTGGACCTGGGGCTCTCCTGGAGAGGAGCATCACACACACACACACACACACACACACACACACACACACACACACACACACACACACACACACACTACTGTGGTAGGGAAGAGACTGAAAAACTCAGTGTGTGTAGACAGTAATCTCAGTAATCTCCAGACCACCTGTTTTTCTTTGAGGTCTCTGGATCTGAGAGATGTTTTTCCTGGTCTAGAGTAATCACTACAATATGGGACTGTTTCTTTTGCTTTACTCCAAAAGGTTGTTGTCTTTATCTCTGCTCATAGCAGATCAAATAACCTGTCGGTTAAAGTGTTTCATTTTTCCGCCCACTGGACCTTCACCATGTCTTACACCAACAAACTGAGTAGCTTCAAAGAGCAGACCTGAAGTGCTTTGTGAGCAGATGCCTTCATGTGGAAACAAATCTAATTGTAAGGTTATGTTAGCACAGTCATGATCTTTCACAATCCCATAAAAAACTGTCTGCTTTCGTGAATTTCTGCATTACCAGCAGTTACTCCATCATAACACAACAAAACTATTAGGCCTACCTCTGAAACAAGGGCAAACGAGTTCACAACCACTATGATTTCATATGATTTCCCAACCCTCTGAATATAGTCCAGTAAGAGTGTTGTTTAGAAGTGGGGTGCCGTAATGTCTGGGGTGGTCAGGAAGTCAGAGGTTTCCTGGTCAGCTTATTTGAACAGTTGAGGCAACATTCAGGTTATACCACACAGAAAACACAAAAGGAACCAAATTAACATGACAGAACTCCAGCATGTAACAACACCGGATGCAGTCATAAAATTGTCTTTGTCTGTGTGAAGGGCCTAGTAAAAATTGACTGACGAGAATGTTAATGAGATTGACTTGATGGTTTTTATTAGAACTTTAAAACAACAGAAAGGTTTCTTCTATGGCGACAACAAAAGTCTATACAGAGAAACATGGCAGGTATCAAGATGTGAAATAGATATCTCTGTAATAACAAATCAACATCTAAATTAATGAACAAGGAAGCTAAATGAATTGGCCCGATCAAAACATAACTCTGTCTGAAAAGTAGACCGGGTCAGCTATCTGAGATAATTCCTTGAGAAAACGTCCACATATCCTCAGGAAGTGGAGATACAGCGTTCAGTAGGACCTCTCATAAGACTGTACACATGATCTACACCCAGACAACTACACTACATGGCCGAAAGTATGTGGACACAACATCTCATTCCAAAATCATGGGCATTAATATGGAGTTGGTCCCCCCTTTGCTGCTATAACAGCATCCACTCTTCTGGGAAGGCATTCCATTAGATGTTGGAACATTGCTGCGGGGACTTGCTTCCATTCAGCCACAAGAGCATTAGTGAGGTCGGACACTGATGTTGGGCGATTAGGCCTGGCTTGCAGTCGGCATTCCAATTCAGCCCAAAAGTGTTCAATGGGGTTGAAGTCAGGGCTCTGTGTAGGCCAGTCAAGTTCTTCCGCACCGATCTTGACAAACCATTTCTGTATGGACCTCGCTTTGTGCACAGGGGCATTGTCATGCTGAAACAGGAAAGGACCCCCAAACTGCTGCCACAAAGTTGGAAGAACAGAATCATCTAGAATGTCATTGTATGCTGTAGTATTAATATTTTGCTTCACTGGAACTAAGGGGCCTAGCCCGAACCATGAAAAACAGCCCCAGACCATTATTCCTCCTCCACCAAACGTAACAGTTGGCACTATGCATTCGGGCAGGTAGCGTTCTCCTGGCATCCACCAAACTCAGATTCTTCCGTCGGACTGCCAGATGGTGAAGTGTGATTCATCACGCCAGAGAATGTGTTTCCACTGCTTCGGAGTCCAATGGCGGCAAGCTTCAGCTGACACTTGGCATTGCCCATCATGATCTTAGGCTTGTGTGCAGCTCCTCGGCCATGGAAATCCATTTCATGAAGCTCCAGACGAACAGTTCTTGTGCTGACGTTGCTTCCAGAGGCAGTTTGGAACTCGGTAGTGAGTGTGGCAACCGAGGACAGACGATTTTTCCCGCACTACGCGCTTCAGCGCTCAGTGGTCCCATTCTATGAGCTTGTGTGGCCTACCACTTCGCAGCTGAGCAGTTGTTGCTCCTAGACGTTTCCACTTCACAATAACAGCACTTACAGTTGACCTGGGCAGCTCTAGCATGGCAGACATTTTACAAACTGACTTATCCTATGACGATGCCACATTGAAAGTCACTGAGCTCTTCAGTATGGGCCATTCTACTGCCAATGTTTGTCTATGGAGATTGCATGGCTGTGTGCTAGGGTTTTATACACCTGTCAACAGCCGAATCCACTAATTTGAACGGGGTGTCCACATACTTTTAGTGTATCTCGAACTCAAATGTTACAGTCCTGAGAGACTGGGATAAACACAACGCACATAGACCACAGAGGGACAATAGCGGGCTGCCAAGACAGTGTAATGCAAGCATGCAGTCAATTTGGTTACTTACCGGCTTCAACAGCTGAAGAGGAAGAGAAGCCCACCATTTTCCAAAAACAGCTCCAGTGAGAATTGCTGTGGTAATCCACACATTAGCTGTGCTCGTCTCTGGGATTGCAGAGCTCTAAACGCACAGTTCAGCTGAGGTGTCACTCTCATTCACCCTCACCCTCACTCCCTCTCTCCTTCCTGGTATTGTGGTATATAGTAGGCTGGGCTCAATTCATTGACTCTCCCGCTGTTACACCACACCTCCTTTACTCTCTCTCCCTCCCTCTCTTCCCTCTGGGAAGTGGAACTCCTCAAAGAGAAGTAGAGATTCAGGTTAAAGATGGTGTGTAGACAGTCTACAAACAATCTTTAACTTTCATCTCTACTTCTCTCTGAGGAGTTCTACTTCCCAGGGTCTGGTCTCTTGTGGTGGAAACTCATTCACAAAGAAAGGATGGGGGGATGATAGTCAAAGCTCAAAGATTTATGAAGTAACTGACTTCTGCTAGAGATTATGTGATGGGGTTATCGACTGGCAATTAAATTAAATGACACTGGGCAATGTCAAAGAAACCACAATGGATGCCTCATTGCATGCATAGTCAGTCAGTAAAAGGTTTCCATCCAACAGGAATAGTGTTGGGTTGGGTTCCTCCCTCCAGAGAGGATATCCGGTGGGGGGTGAGGATGATCCATTGACCTTGACACTGCTGCCGCTCTCTCTCTATCTGCTCACCACACTGACACACTCTGACACGTCCTCACGGCTACAGCCGACACACAAGGAAACCATGGTGACCCCAAAAGCCACCGACTGAGCTGAGCCAAATACCTGCCAACGCACTCACAGCAGGACAGCACTTCCTCCATCTCACTAGATTCAACACTCAGACATACCAGAGAGCTTCATATGTATATGAATCAGCATTCACTGCTCCTGTGGTTTCATCTTTAAAAAATACTTGTCCTTTGAGTGTGACTTTAGAGAGACTGTTTGTAAGCTAATGAATGGCTGCTGACTTTTTTCTCTCACAGTAAGCAGATGGAATTTCACTCTAATTTATTGAGAGACGTTTGAAGGACAGCAGATTGTTTCCACAGAGAATGGTTGGTTTCCTTCCCCTTGAAACAAGGAAATGAAGCCAAACAAAATAAGATTTAAAAAAAATAGCTCTGCTGCTATACAAAAGAGATACGGGTATACGTTTGTGTGTGTGTGAAAGAGTGTGTAAGAGAGAGAGAGATCTTTATCTCTCACTAAAGAGAGCGAGGAGAGAGAGTGTGTGGACATACTACAGTATGTGTGTATGAGGATACACGGATGAGGAAAACGAGACAAAAGGGAGGGGACCGGAAGCAGGCTGTGTAGCAGTAGGATGTGTGTGTTATTGTAGCGGTGCGGAGTGCAATCACAACTCCACGGCCCTGGGTCTCCAGGGGTCCATTGTCTATGTGTGAACCCTACTGCCTGGGCCAGAGAGGGGCCCGCCCACCCTCCCGCCCAGTTTCCGCGCTGCTCGCGTTCCCATGCAACACCCTCAATCCTACACACCTCAGGGAAGTGTTTCAGCCAGCCTGGCAGGTGGACCACGGTGGTGTTACAGTTGGTTTAGTTCAGTCACAGTGCTCAGAGAGGCCTCATCTAGTCACGTTCCCCTGCAGCCACACCCACACAGAGTGATTGAACACTATGACCTTTGACCCCTGCCGTGGTTCTGTGAGTTCAAGTCAACAAAGCCTTGCCTGTCAACTGTCAACACTCCCAGATCACAGAGCTCTCAGCTAAGACCATGAATCCTGACGTGTACTCTCTCCCCTGAGAACTTTATCCAGTATCATCAGAGCTGGCTTACAGTACAAGCAATGCCGAATCAGCCAACTGACCAGCACTGATGCTACCATTAACAAAGACACCGACAGCCTCTTATACTTACAAGTACTTACCAAAGATCTTTGTCCTAATCCAACAGAGCCAAAGAAGACAGCTCCAAGAGGTAGTGACAACCGTAATGTCTCCAGTAATACAACAAAGCTACATCCTACACTGGATAGATCACGAACACAGACAGGGGAGGTTATCCTTAGCCTTCATTCAAGCCCCATGCACTCAGCCTTTCCGCACCCTAACAATACACCATTGTCCAGACGAGGGCCAAAATTAACAATGCAGTCTGGTGAGTTCTGGTTCCAGTGGTATGCATAGAAACGCGTGGCTTTCTTTTGCAAATTACTATGAATTAAGAAGCGTATTTCCTAAAACTTCTCAATACTTAACATCATATTAAGGTGTGGGACATTCATTGTGTGACAATAAATAACTAGCAGGTCTATTACACCTCAGCAGCTAGAATTTTTCCATCCACAATTCAACTGTGGGACCATGGTGGCTCTCAATACCAGACAACAGAAAGAGCTGTCCGCTACTACACTTCAGATTGTAGTAGCAGACAGCTCTACAATGAATCATTGGCTGTGCTCACTGCTAAAGTGGATACCTATTCAACTAAAGTGGTAAGTCTGGAGAAGACAGCCAATGCGAGTTTGGAAGGAATAATCAAACTCCTGAAAGAGAAAACGGAATCACTCGAAAATCATTCTCGTAAATTCAGTGTGCTGGTCACTTCCTTCATGAGCATTATTTTCTATGAACTGTTCGGGCAGGAGAAGCTGGGTCCCATGCCACTGATTAACATTGTGCACCACACGGGTCAACTCTGCCGCAGCTCTCGTATGTATGATTGTGCGCATCCACAGCTTTGAAGTCAAGTGGCGAATTGTTCACCTTGCAGCGGAATACGGGGGAGTGACCTATGCAGGGAAGAGGATCAGCATCTACCCAGACCCAGATGCGGCTTCATCCACCACGCGACAAAACTCATCTTGACCTTCCAGAACACAACACATGTTTTCCACTGCCAAATAATCTCAAGACTTCTTCGATAAGCACATCAAACCAAACACACAAGGGGACAAGCCGACAGATGGAACCTCATGACTGGCTCATTATTCAGGTATGCTATCAATGCACAATCATGCAGCCTAGCCTATGGCTATGGCGCTGCCCTCAGCATAAGGCTGTGACGAGGACCCCTCTCATGTACAAGGAGCAATATTACTATTATTGCTGAGCATTGAACTTGTTACAATTATATTGCCTAAGGTCCAGGACACTTACACAGTGATGACACCATGCCAATTAATGAACAATGGACAAAAGATGGATCCTATAGCTACCCTATCTACTCATTTAATTGTAAAGGTCTGAATTGGTTACTTATTTTGTTTAACTTTATTATTATAGAAAATAAAACCAAACATTTGCTGCTTAAGAGGTGTCATATGTAAGGCTGCTACTCGCCATTATGTTACAACCCTTTAATTATAGTACAGGCCAGGGGGAACCAGGGAGGGAGGGCAGGGAAGGGAGGGGGGGGGGGGGGGGGGGGCGACCAATGGGTGGGTTTCCCTGTGGGTTCTGCTTTTTATTTTACATCCATAGGCTTATCAACACTAAAGATAACAATTACATTTTAACAATGGCAACACTAGCCTGACAAGCCTTAATATTCCTATCAAATATTCCAGCTGTCTTGATATTCTAGCAAGAAACCATATTGATATAGCAATGTTCCAAGAAACACACCTGCGCCAAAAGGACACACATAGAAACTGGCTACTTTTTCATCAACCCCAAACTAAACTAAGGGTGTAATCATAAAGATAGATAAGAAACTCAGAATCACCATCCTTGGTAAAGGCCAAGAAGGCAGAATCACCTTCATTAAATGTATCCATAATGTAAAGAAAATTAATGGTTTGAGAATATTCCAAGATTTGAAAGACACATACACATTACAAGGCAACTCCTTTTTTCTATATTTATGATTTAGGTCAGCTATGCTGGCCTATGGAGTCCCTTGGGAAACCCAACTACCGAACCATCCAATGATGGGATTAATAAATAAATTATCTGGGCTCCCGAAAGGACTGATCTCTATAATATATAAACAACTTTTGAAAAGCTGCCCATCTTAATCTTTTCTTTTTATTGGCCAGTCTGAGATATGGCTTTTTCTTTGCAACTCTAACTAGAAGGCATCAGCATCCCGGAGTCGCCTCTACACTGTTGACGTTGAGACTGGTGTCCAGAGCATGGAGGCGCTACCAGGAGACAGGCCAGTACATCAGGAGACGTGGAGGAGGCCGTAGGAGGGCAACAACCCAGCAGCAGGACTGCTACCTCCGCCTTTGTGCAAGGAGGAGCAGGAGGAGCACTGCCAGAGCCCTGCAAAATGACCTCCAGCAGGCCACAAATGTGCATGTGTCTGCTCAAACGGCCAGAAACAGACTCCATGAGGGTGGTATGAGGGCCTGACGTCCACAGGTGGGGGTTGTGCTTACAGCCCAACACCGTGCAGGATGTTTGGCATTTGCCAGAGAACACCAAGATTGGCAAATTCGCCACTGGCGCCTTATGCTCTTCACAGATGAAAGCAGGTTCACACTGAGCACATGTGACAGACGTGACAGAGTCTGGAGACGCCGTGGAGAACGTTCTGCTGCCTGCAACATCCTCCAGCATGACCGGTTTGGCGGTGAGGTCAGTCATGGTGTGGGGTGGCATTTCTTTGGGGGGCCGCACAGCCCTCCATGTGCTCACCAGAGGTAGCCTGACTGCCATTAGGTACCGAGATGAGATCCTCAGACCCCTTGTGAGACCATATGCTGGTGCGGTTGGCCCTGGGTTCCTCCTAATGCAAGACAATGCTAGACCTCATGTGGCTGGAGTGTGTCAGTAGTTCCTGCAAGAGGAAGGCATTGATGCTATGGACTGGCCCGCCCGTTCCCCAGACCTGAATCCAATTGAGCACATCTGGGACATCATGTCTCGCTCCATCCACCAACGCCACGTTGCACCACAGACTGTCCAGGAGTTGGCGGATGCTTTAGTCCAGGTCTGGGAGGAGATCCCTCAGGAGACCATCTGCCACCTCATCAGGAGCATGCCCAGGCATTGTAGGGAGGTCATACAGGCATGTGGAGGCCACACACACTA